TCTTCATGCATGCACTAAATCGTAATTCTAGCCCAGGGCTACTTTAGATAGGGTGGCTACTTTAGATGCAACAATACTATGCAATAAATAATAGCAATAATCATAGTTATGACAATACTGTATGTATGAGTCGAAAGCTTTCATAATTTCATAATCTGGACATATTAGTAAAACAATCTGATCTTTAGGATTTGAATCAAACCAGATAACGAAATTATATTGTGATATGTCTAATGTCAAGTCAAATCCAGTCCACGAAGAGGAAATATTAAGGTTGGAAATTTATGACCCTATGCAAGATTTTAATGTCGGCCAATTAGCACAATGCAAGCCGGAATAATCATCTATAAGAAATTCGATGATGGCGGTATACTTGCCGCAAGAACTACTCGTCCCAAATCCCAAGTCTCAATTTTAATATTTTGTGATTGGGATTTGGGACAATTTTACTATGTTTGCGAGATTTTAAGAGATTATAGATTGTGCGACATTGTAATAATAAAGTTATAAAAAAACTTATTTAAGTTATGCATCGGTATTATTTTTTTGTTTTTTCTTTTGTTCCGAATTCGCTTTTAATATTTTCATTTTAGTCATTTTATTATTAGCATAGATTGCTGCCTTCAGTTTTTTATGTTTTTTGTGAAATAAGAAACCATGCCAAGAACCTAAATGTTCTACGCAGCCCAATCAGATTTCGTCAAAATCTTGCCGAAACCGCCTTTTGCATTCTAAAAAAAATCCTTGTTAATTTTGATACATACATTGCTCTTATGCCTAACCTCAAACCTACCCTTAATGTTAAGGGTTTTATTACTTTAAAATTTTCATTATTTGATTGCTTTTGAGTTCACGTTACAATTAGTCTCAAATTTTGATTGGCTGACGCTCAGAATTTTTGGAGGTACTTTTGGCGTAGTTCAAATAAGACATGTAGCACATGACATAGTTCCGTTGATTTTGCCTAGGCACTAAACCAAAAATGAAAGTAGTGGATTACGTCGCATTCAAATTCTGAACGCGAAAAATTAATAATGACAGCAATGGACGAGGCTGCATTAGAGTTACAAAATTGAACGTGAAAATCTAAGGTAAATTTCATCAACACCTTAAATAAAAAGAAAATGAGGCGTTTAATTATTTTCAAAAATCTGCTGATAAGGTAAATTATGATAACAACCTCTCAGTTTTACAACACCAGCCTGCTTTAATTTCTATTGTTATGACTTTTTGGGAGACTGTTTAACTTCAGTCATAACTTCGGGACAGTTATTAAAAAAAGTTTCTTATTAATAATTAATATTTAAGGGCTAAGGAAGTTTTTTAACACAAAAAAGCCAATATTTTTATTTATTTTTAAAGAAATATCAAGAAACTTTTATTGCAATATGAAATTACATTATTCTAGAATGCAAATTGACAGTAATCACATTACTGTAATGTTGTTAGCCGAAATTGTTTTGAGCTAGTAGAAATATTTCGACATTTAATATTTAGACCAATGTTCGAAATTAGTGTACAGACAAACCTCTCTATAGTCACACCCACGGGATTCAAAAATATGTGATTATGGAGAAGTGTGCTAATTATAAAGGTCAAATTTATTATATTTAATAATAGATGGTTTTTTAAAAAAAATAAGCTTATAAAGAAAACGTGCTTATATAGGAGGTGATTATAGAGAGGTTTGACTGTACTCAGAGTTCTCATGAGAACACTATTATAAATTTGTAAATTCTTACTGTTCACATTAAAAATTTTTGAGAACAGTAAAGTAATAATAATGCTCTATAAGTTTAAAGTGAAAAAAATAGGAAAATTAATGAAGCTTTCGAAGCTATATTGTAAAGAAATATTTAATTTTTAAATTTGATATACATTGAATCTTAATCAGTATTGGTATACGTTTTTAGCTCACATAGGTACGTTGTGAGAGTGGTGACTAAATGTTCTAGTCCAAAACTAACTGAAACACTAAACTAAACTAATCAAAACAATCCAATCTCTATCTTCAAGACACCTAAAATCTTGAATAGGAAGGCAGAAAGAGGGCGTGGAAAGACTTGGTCCGAGTTTCAAGATCTTTCGGGTCTTACGGTGATATTACTGGCCTCAGATAAACACTCTGTATCCTTTTTAGCTTATTAGTTACTTGACTATATTAAGAACTTCAACTATAACGCTTCCTATCTTCGATTTAG